CCCCCCCCCTCATAAAACACTGAGGTCTCCTTCGAAACATTGGGGACTACGTAAAGAGTCCACTACTTGCGTCTCTATCCAACGGCCAACTACCAGGTATAATTCGATCCTTGGGAAGGATTGCCTCACTTTGCTTGGCGGCCGTTCATGGGGTCAGTCGGTACTTTCACGGCAAGCTTAGAAAATATGCAGATAGGACTCTCGAGCACACAGGAATCCAAAAATATAGCTCCCCTTTAATCTAGCACTATTTCTTCTTTTGTCTCTATATTTAACAGCTCTTCTACCAGGTGAAGGGAGACATGTGTCTGAAGGTGATAGAAAACGGGATTCACAAGGATGTGAACATCAAGGAGGGAGAGGTGAGCTTGAATAGAGTTCGGTTTTTTCGTTTTGGTAAAGTTATATCCTTCATAATAAGTAAAATACTACATATTACTATTATAACAATGGAGTTCATCTTAAGGCAGTGCAATACAGTTGGTCTCTGCCTCTTTCTGTGGTTAAGGATGTTCTTCTTATCCAAATAAACTAGTCTTGTTACAATGCTCCAATGTGTGTCTCCTTCAAACATGATATTTTTCTTAATTCAAAGATGTTCCTGCTGCCAGCGAGGACCCCCCACTCCCCCCAGAGACAGGCCAACACTGTGGGACTGGTGGTGGAGAGGAGACGTCTGCTGACGGAGAACGACTGCCTGAGGTTAAATATCGTACATCCTTATCTTCTTCTCCCTTCTCGTCTTTTCTTTGTTCCACATCTCTTTTTAAGCAGATCATATCAGGGAATAGAGGAAAAAGATCCTGACAAATCAACCCAATTGATATAGCTACCAGGAAAGTCTAAACTTTAGAGACCAGCTTTTCTCAATCGTGGTCAATGTGCTTTTTGATACAAAAGAGCAGTTCTGAGGTTAAGAAGAGCCATTGATTGTTTTACAATTCAAATTAAAGTCTCATGTCTGTATATTCAAGTCCCAAGTCAAATCACAAGTCCTTAACTTTGTTTTTCGAGCCCTTGACCGCTTTATGCAGTTTTTTTGTTACGGTTAACCAACATGATTTTGGTACAAAACAATATCATTTTTCTTATCAGTTCTCTTTATTGGGAATAATTTGGAAATATTGTGAGCAGATGACGCTGATCTGGAATCGCACTCATGACTTGAATGTCTTGCAAGCCATGTTTCTATAGTTTAGGTAGTTTAGCAAAAAGAATGACAATTGTTTGGACAAAAAACAAGAAACAAAGTTAATACATTTTAGTTGTGACAACTGCATTCGGAACTCATAAAATCTGTGGAAAATAACTGTACATTGGCGTACAATGAAAATACTTAATTTTTCCTGTATCCAAATAAACACAACAGACATGTCATATGCTCTTACATGTCATATGTAAGAGCAGCATTAACATTAGCCTGTGTTGATGCCTTCAGGTACTATGTTGACAACACCACTTATCCCCTGTTCGAGAAATGGTTCTACTGTGAGAACCTCGGAACCCAACTGGTGCCAATCATCAAAGAGTAAGACATCCAACCATCTGCATTGGTTCCTTCAAATCCATTTCTTTGAGTTAAGTTTGTTAATTCTGGTTTATCTGTTTTACTTTCAGGTTCATGGCATCAAAGCAGTGCAAAACAGGAAAGCCTGATGCAAGTAAGATGTTCTGAGATTTCTTGTGATTCTTAATCCTTATTTCTGATCTAAAGTCTTATCACCCGTAATCTGTTGTCGTCATGGTTATCTTTGTATGAACAGATGATGTGTTCAGAGACCCTCCATTCCAGATGAACACGATGAAGGTGATGTCACCCTTCTCCTTCAAAGACTGGCTGAACACCCAGAGGCCGACCCTGGCCAGCGGCAGCCCCATCGACATGTTCGGGGATCAGTTTGAGACCGAGGTACTACAAACACGTATTCAGACATGTTTTTATAAAGGTTTTCCACTTTCAACATGGCTACGTTTTTCAATCTTGTATACTTATAATTTGATCAGATAGTTGCTGATTTAAAAAGCAATAGTCCATTTTACTACGGCACATCTTATAAAGCTTTTAAATTAAGTAAAGTCAATATTTATTTATGCAGCCCAAAATCATGAGGCTTCACAATCTGTAAAACATAAAACACCCTTGATGCATATAACCTCTATTCATACAAGGGAAAACTAACTTTTTAACATGCATTTTCATACCAACAGACATTTAAAATATCTTTTAAGTACAGATTAAAATAATTAAAATAAGCAACATTTGTTTAGATACTTCAGAACTGGTCTTACAGAAAAAGCCTGGTACTGTATAAAAACGATTGCTACCGGTGGAAATGTAAACAACATCTAGCTGTATTTTCCAATAATTGATTTCCTAATGCTGTAATGAAATATTTTGTTAAAGCAAAGTGGGATTTTGGAATCGTCATGCCTGTGGTGAATTACCAAGACAAAGCTTGGCTGTTAAGTACTTGATATTCATTGACTATTGAATATGAGCAGATGTGATGTGCTGCACTAATCCTCTCTCTCTCTTGTGACAGGTGATAGTGTATGGACCTGGGCGCAACGAGACGTCAGTACGGATAACTGATGCGTGGGTTTGGCAGATGGTATGTTGTTCTCTTCATGGTGTGTTCCTTCTGTAGCTTCCAAACAGACTCTCAGTGCTGTTCAGATGCTGCCATCCCTGAGTACGATGTAGCGTTTGCTCATATGTGTGATAACCAAACCCTGTGTTAACAACCTCTCATCTCACAGGAGGGATCCTCAAGGGTAACTTTGAATGAGGAGGAGTTCCTTCTCGCTGCAGGAAACAGTTTGCTTATTCCTGAACAAAGCCAGTGAGTAAATATTAAGGAGAAACATTAGCCGCTTTCACACCTAGTACTTTGCGGTACTTAGTTCCCGGTACTTAGTTCCCGGTACTTGGTTCCCGGACCGGTACTTGGTTCCCGGACTGGTACTTGGTTCCCGGTACTTGGTTCCCGGTACTTAGTTCCCCCGAACTCTTTAGTCCCTGGAACTGCCCTGTAGATCGCGTTCACACTGGAATAAGTCCCTGAGGTAGTGATGTGAAAGATCCGGCTCTTTTAAGCGAACGAACCGTTTTTTGTTTTGATTTTTTTGTTTGTTATAGGGGACCTTTTATACATAAATATGTGTCCCCGGTGTGTCAGAGAACTCACAAAGTGTCAGAAAACAAAACAACTAAAAAAAAAAGAAAGAAAAGGGGCTGCTAAAAAGCAGATTCAGAATTTTCGCTCCTACTACGTCCTAGGCGACATCCGGCCGACGTGACACGTCCCAACCTATCGTCTCCGGCACACGTGACACGTCACAACCTTTCGTATCCGTAGCTGAATCCCCTCTCGCAGCTGTGTGTCTGTGTATTCAGCAGGATGTCTGCAGGAGGCACTTAGAGTAAAGTTCTTTAATACATATAATGGCACTGTTCTAGCAGTAAACACTTAAGAAAGAACATGTCAAGCTATGTGCTGTATCAGAAACAATGCGCGGTGTGTTTTGGGAGTAATATGCTCTGTGTTTACATTAGCAAGCATGCTAACACTCAGAGCTAACCATGGAGCTAACGCTGTAGGGTACTGGAGAGAATATGTGTAACGTAATGTCCTTGTGGTAAAGAGAAAGGTTTGAGTTCCATACTGTTTCAGAAATAATGCTTGAAGTGGTTGGGAGCATAATATGGCTTTTAATCACTGCAGCGTTTAGCTGAGTTTCTCCCGGTAGAAAACTCTCTTAGCAGGGGAAAGCTGCCTGACGCTACAAAGGGGCGTGGCTAGCAACAGCCGTTCAATTTAAAGCAGAATCAGCCTTTTTGGAATAGAGGGGTATGAGCAGTATGAGGCATGGCTACAATGGATGATCTGTTTGGTGTTTTAAGCAAAAAACTTCACAGACATGTTTTGTATAGGTATGGCCCTACAATATATTTTTATAATATATATAGCATAATAGGTACACTTTAAGTAATACAAGACAGAATGATATGATGATCTCCGCGCTACGGGTGCTTCGTGCATGCATGCATGCATGCATGCACTGTTTTGCATTGTTTTGCATTGCAATATATTTATTTTTACTATGTTATTTATTTATGTTTATCTTTAGGCTCTGCAAATATTTGATGTCAGCTGTTGCTGTCTTTATTTCTTTAGTTGATACTTAAATAGAGCTCTGCTGTTTTGTTAGGGCTTTTTCTTTAAATATAATTTGTCGATACAGTAGCTGTCCTTTTTAAACATTTCTATGCTTGAGTTTTTATAGGTGTTGCTATCTGCTTTGTGTAGCGTGGTTCTACAAGCAAGTCAGTGAATTAATTGGATGGTATCAGAGAGTTACAAGGGTCTGTAAATGCAATGAAAACTATTGTCCATAGCAAATCATTTATATAAAAAATGTAATTTTTATATATACTGTATATACTGAATACTTCAGTACAAAGGATGTATTGAATAATGTAAATGATATATGTGTACACATGTACATCATTAATCAAAACAGGGCTAAATTTGACTAAATTATAAAAGGTATACTGTATGTGGTAAAATGAAGAGCCGTTTGGGAGCCGAAAGAGCCGGCTCTTCTTGGTGAGTCGAGCCAAATGATCCGGCTCACTAAAAAGAGCCGGAATTCCCATCACTACCCTGGCGGTACTGAAGCTTGCCGGGGGGTGTGTCTGGCGTGCGACCAACAACCAATCACATTAATCTCCTGCCCCGGACACACAAGCACGCTGTTTGATTGGCTAGAGCTTGTACTGGCATATGATTTGATTGGCTGGCGCTTCCGTCGACGCTTGAAAAGTTGAACTTTTCTCAACTTTCGAAGCGAGCAATGGAGGCAAAGCGACGCGAGGGAACCACAATGCACCTCATTCAAAGTGAATGGGAAGCGTCTCTGTTGAAGGACGCAACGCTGCTGTGTGGACGTACTGTTAGGAAGGATTACGCAAATGAAGTCGTTGATGTCACTTCTTCTTCTTCTGCTTTGGGTTTACTGGCAGGCCGCAAACAACTTCACGGCGTATACTGCCACCCGAAGTCCCCCGGAGTTGGCTTCAGTAGAAGCTGCTGGGTACCGCTTCCGAGTAAATCGCCAGAAGCGCCGACACCTCCTCATCACTCCACCGCTCCCATGTTTTCTTTTGTGTTTCCATAAGTTAGTCTCTCTCCGTTGGTGCGTGGGCTAATGCTAATAATGCTAATGCGAGCAAATAAAATGGCGGCTTCACACAACATTTCGGAGTTTTACGGGCCGTGGTTTGCAATTCGCCCAGCCAATCAGAAATTGTTAGTGTGGCCGACACACCCACGAACCATTTCCTCCCCAGGAAAGTACCACCTCTATAGCAGGAACTATCTGGGTGGTGAAAAGGTTTGCGCGAACTAGATTCTAGTTCCAGATCTTTTTGGTGTGAAAACAAAATCCCAAGAGCTATCGGCCTAGTTCCTGGGAAAAGTACTCTTAGTATTCTCCAACCTGAAACTTATTTCTAACAATGTTTTGTGTCTATGTGAATAATGGGCCAACAATTTCGGGAAATCGGTCCGGTATGGTGTGAGTAGTAATCGTACTTGGTTTCCTCTCCTGCAGGTACCAGTGGCAGAGAGATGAAGGGACTGTTGCTCTGTTTGTGGTCCAAAACCCTGAGCGGAAGAGACCCTGAACATCACACGGCCATTCACACACACAATAAATGTGCCAGTGCAGTCAGTGCCTGTTAAGGCATGCCAGTTCCTAATGGACCCAATCATTTGCCTGTGGTATTTAACTACAGCTCACTTATGAGAGAAATTACACTAAATAAATCAATAGAGATAAATTGTGATTATTTAAAATAAACACATGTTCTTCCTGATTCTCCCCTTTTTGTGTTTCGCTTCCCAAATGACACATTTCCTCTTTTTTCCCCCTTAAAGCATTGGGTAGGCGTTACATTATGGACGGTTTTTACAGGAACCATGTCAAAAAGCCTCCGAGCAACTGCCATGTTTTTGATAGATTGTGTAGATTTTCTTTGCAAGTAAAAAAGTGTTATGAATGTTTTCAAATGAAATATATGTATTGCATGCATGCCACGTTCAGGTGCCAGTTTCTTGTTAAATCAAGGCGAGACACGGCAGGCAAAAACATCGTTTTTCAAGCACTGGTCAATTTTGAGATTTTGTGCTATTTTGATTCTATAACATGTTTTATTTCAGGCTTTTGGAAGGAAAACGTACAAAATACACATTTAAGTGTTTATTTGACTATAGTTTGTCTATTTGCGTCAGTAGATTTCTCCTAAATTCACCAAAAGTTAGCTTTCTAACGTAACATAAAGTACCGCGACCACTGTGTGCACCATGTCAACAGAGATATCGTTAGAAAGCTGTGTCTCTCCGGCACAATCTAATCGGATCCAAATATGGTCATTTCCTTTGTATCAGCAACCAATCGTGAAAGCACAAAGGGGTCTTAAACCAAGAAACGAAATCTCATTGGCTGGTGTCAATTTCAGACAACGTGATTCGTTCAGATGCGTCACGTGGTGTGCTAAAACACTTCCTGGTTAGCTTTCCGCTAAAAATGTAAATCTCAAAATGGCAAAAGAACGGCGAAAAAAAAGTTTACAGAGAAGACGACAACAGTTGTCACTTGCACGAAGCAAGATTATACAAAAAACAAATGACCCCGAACATGAAATACCTTCACGGAGTGCGTCGAGGCGCAAGCTGCCATCCAGAGAACAGGAGGGTTTAGCTAGCGCCTCACTGCAATCTTTAAAGGTCGTTTTCTCAAAATGAGTTTTTTCTCCTACTCTGAGTTCGAAATTTCAACTTCAGTAGCACGTAGACACACCAAACCTTCCAGTTATATTCCTACCAATATTATGAAGGCTTTTATAGAAGGGTTTGTTCATATATCATTCATAACCTGAATTATACAACATTGTATACCTAAAAACATGGCAACAATTGATATTTTAGGGCTGTTGACAGTATTTTCTGCAGAAATTTATGTAAGTGAGCCGTCGCATACGAACGCGTAAACCGGTGTAAGGAAACTGGTAAAAAGGAAGGCAGAATATCCACCAATCGGCTGGAATTGTATAGTCCTGATAAAAGCAGCGAACCTCACAATTATAAAACCACATTGGGGATTTATAATATGACTACAAATGAAACAAGAATTTTTAACCTGGCTTTATCCGAAGGTTCGAGGAATTGTCGGGATTCTTATAGGAACGTGCCTAAAGGGGATGAAAGATAGTGTGTTAAAAAAATATGCACATAGTGGTATGTTTGAGAAGTTGAACAGAGAGGAAAGACAGGATAATGGGCGATAATTGTGCCAGTAGGCTGGTAATAGAGCGGACACAACTACTCGCGTATTTCAGATCGAGAGAATGGAGCTAAGGGAATCCCTTTTGGCAACCTCGGCCAGGCTCGGAAATTGTAAGGGAGAGGACCAACTCCCCAGGAACAAAATCAATATATGATGGTAGAGTAAGGTTGTGGAAATAAACCGTGGGGGGCTAGAAATTTCTAGTGTTACAGGCTGGATGATGACCTGTTTAAGCAGTCTACAAATAGATGTTAAAGATTACCCTATTCACCTGGGTGTGCGTCGCGGCTTAAACATGTCGCTATTACATTTACATTTTTTCGGACGCACAAAATCGATAGTAGTGTCATGACTGATGTGGTAATATCCGCCAGGACCGTCTCCAGTCTATAGAATTCCCCAGCATTACTGGAAATATCACTGATGGAGGTTTTTTGATCACTTCATTCAAGAAATATTCATGTGTATGCTGTTGTTTTGACACACAAGATGCATTACATCTACAAACAGAGCATTAACAATGATGTAGCAACATGATACGGCAAGTTTTGGAGGGTGTTTGTTTCGTTTCTTTTCGGCGGGGGGCGTAATGTTACAGAATGTTTCGGTAAAATGAAGATTCCCAGGCCACTTTAATGTTTAGTTTAACAATAGTTTTCCCAATGACCGTAGGAATGGTACTGCCCCAGAATGAACAAGTTAAAGGTTTTCAGTGCTTGCCCCGGTTCCCCACGAACACTATCCAAAACTTTCTCGTTCTGAAGCGACTAGTCTTTAAGTTTTTCACCAGAATAACTAATAATTAGAGCCCCCATATTCTGAGGTCTGGAATCTTAACTTCATGAGCTTTTCCCAGGCCAGTGTCCAGAAATGGTGCCCCTTGCACCACATCAACAGAGGCTTCTTTGGAGTCCCCCACAGGGTTTGTAGAGAGATGTAATCATGAATTTTTCAAACCGGGGGGGATCAGTTTAATCCTCACCATGATCGTCCCTCAACTATAAGTCACATCTGTTGTGCTCTCAATTCAAGATCACAAACTTTACTTGGTCCCCGGTACGGTTATATATCTAATTTCCCCACACACATGATTAGGAAGAGATTGGATCGCAGGAAGTGTGGTTTTTCTTTTCAGGGGAAAATGTAAATACTCTTGTACTAAACAAAGAAGCAATAAAAGGCAGGCGGTACATTCTGATCAACCAATAGGTTCTAATTAAAATACATACCGAGCGTTTTGCAGTCCAGCATGAGTAGTTCCTAAGCCCTGTAGTTTTATTTATATATTTATAAGTGTTAGGCTATTCAAAGGATAAAGGTTAGGGCCTCGTCCATGGTATTATTAATCGAAGATATAAAGACATTAAAAAGGATAATAACTAAAAATCCAAACATCGCTAAAGTTTTCTAACTTTCCCAAACACATGGACAGGTAAAAGTAACTTGTCCATTAGACTCTCATCATTCTTGCTCGCTGAATACTAACGGCATCCAAGACTCCGGCGTTAGCGGCGATGGAGGTCTGTTTGTCAGAGATCTCCTCTCATTGGGGAGCCTCCCTTTTCTGCCCCTTTTGCATGAGGTGGATCAGTGACTGACGGGGCGTGGCCGTGGACATCAATTTCGATCTTTGCTGTTATGTCCAGGCGGCGGGCGTCGGCAGACACCATATGTATGTGCGCGAGAAAAGCCCCGACGGAGCGCGGAGATTGTGAGTCCCCGCCTGCAAGGTCATCGCAGTCCGAAAGATTGCTCGGGTGTTAGAGGAGGAGGAAAGGACCAGTTGGTGGTGCGCGGAGTAAGTAGTCTGGGGTATCGCGGCGACCTTCTTCAGCCAGTTACGACTCCCCAACCTCGACGAGTTCCAGGGTAGAGAGGGTTCCACAGGTTTTTTCTAATGTTTGTTAAGAGAGTTTACAAGATATAAGTTCACTCGGCACTCGCTGAAGAGGATGATCAAAAAGAGAGTGGTGGGGCCAGAGTCGGCTAATTGGATTTGCATGGTTTGACGCCTAGGAGGGTTTGGCAGACTGATTTAGCAGTTCGGTTTGTCGTGGCGTCATAATTAAGCCGCATTTAGGATTACATAGCTAGCCTCCAACACCGGGAATTATAGTGAGAGTAGTACGAGCGGCGGGCTGTAGGGCGAAGTCCTCCGAACGGGTGACGGCGAAATCACGCGAGTCAGGAGGCCGGGTGCCATGGTCAGTTTTGATATAATACTAGAACAGAGCAGAGAGAATCCCGGACTGGGCTGTCTGGGCTTATTCAGACAGGTGTCATTCGAGAAGGGGTGAAATAGGAGCGTGTGTGCTACTTGCCGCAGGCGGGTGAGTGGCGCTGCTGAGGACGCGTGCGGCGGAGAGCGGATTAGCGGTGCAGTCCCCGAGTTGCTAAAGAACACAATGTTCACAAAACATATCACATATGTTTACACTGACCTGCTTTTTGGTCCATTATAGCAGAGATGATTTG